GTTATCTCTGATGTGTGCAGAGAAAACCTTATCAGACTTGTTTCAGGTCTGGCTGTCAAGGGAGCGCTAAGAACGGTGTAAAAGAGGTTTCTTTCTTAGGGCCTAGCTTCCCAAACCTGAGTCACTTACCTGTTACCTGTGTGCCTTCTGCTGTGGCCTAACTCTCTGTTCATTACTTAACCTGATTTTTTTCCTTTAAATTGATTTTAAGTAAATTCATTTTGTGATGAATTTTACATCTTCCTAATAAGTCAAACTCTTTGACTTTTTAAATTTCTCATATTTTGAAAGGTATATGTAAATAATTTCAAATATAATTGACTCACGTGACCACACATGGCACACTTACCGCAGCTGGTACTGTAGGTTTTTTAGGATCTCTGTAACTGAGGAGGTTAGCGTTGGAAAACTTTGTGTTTTTTTATTTTTATAGCTGTGAATCAGACACTTAATGAATACATAATTATATATGTGAAAATAGGAGTCTCAGAGGAATTATATACTAAGATTTGAATAACACTTTTTTAGAGTTTCAATATTTCAGTAGGGTTTATGATGGGCAGTTGGATTACCTACCATCTCTTTTTTGTGGAATTTATGTTTAAGATAGTGGCAGATACTTGGCTGCTGCATTTAATTAAGGACTATACTATTAATATATTCATTTAATCCCTCCACAAATACTGAGCACATTGTATGTGCCAGGTGCTAAGAATTTTTTGTTGTTGTTTTTTTGAGACGGAGTTTCGCTGTGTTGCCCAGGCTGGAGTGCAGTGGCTCAGTCTTGGCTCACTGCATCCTCTACCTCCCAGGTTTAAGCAATTCTCTGCCTCAGCCTCCCGAGTAGCTGGGATTACAGGCGCCCGCCACCATGCCCGGCTAATTTTTTTTTTTTTTTTGTATTTTTAGTAGAAACAGGGTTTCACCATCTTGGCCAGGCTGATCTTGAACTCCTAACCTCGTGATCCACCTGCCTTGGCCTCCCAAAGAACTGGGATTACAGGCATGAGCCACCACGCCTGGCCTCTTTTCTTTTCTTTTTTTTTTTTAAAGACGGAGTCTTGCTCTTTTGCCCAGATTGGAGTACAGTGACATGATCTCAGCTCACTGCAGCCTCCGTCTCCTGGGTTCAAGGGATTCCCCTGTCTCAGCCTCCTGAGTAGCTGGAACTACAGGCACATGCCACCATGCCCGGCTAATATTTGTATTTTTAGTATAGACGGGTTTCACCATGTTGGCCAGGCTGGTCTTGAACTCCTTACCTCAGGTGATCTGCCCGCCTTGGCCTCCCAAAGTGCTAGGATTACAGGCGTGAGCCACCATGCCCGGACGCGGTGCTATGAATTTAGTAGTGAATAATTTAGTAGCAAATCCCCAGGAGTGTTTTGAAAATACGAGTGACACTTTCTGTCCTTCACTTCTAGGAACCGTAGCGACTATGTTGAGAAAAGGGGGGAAAAAAAGAAAATACCTACAGCAGTCGATAGTGTTGACAGAAAACTAGCTTGGGGACCTCTTGGAATTACCTAGGGCACAGAGAAGGGTGCTTTAGAGCAGGTTGGTGGCAGGGGAGATAAGAAGTGGTTGATTCTGGGGAGATTTTGAAGACAAAGCCATCAGGCTTTGCTGTTTTTTGTTTAATTCTTGTGTTTTCTTAAATGTCCCTGCAGCACTTTTAAAATTGACATAATTGCCTAGTTTAGCACTTGAACACTTTGTTTAAAAATTTTTATTGCTGCCAAATAGTCATTTCATGAATACCCAATTGTTTATGTGAAGAGTTTTAGAGGAGCTGTAAGTTGTATCCATGGTTGAAAGAATGAATCCATTTATTTGAAACGTGTAGGGTAATCAATGGCTCCAGGGGTTTTGAAATAGATACAGTACCTGGTTTTGATTGTTTTTTTTTAACTTTGAATAGATGTCAGATTGTATGATAACACATTACCAGTCTGATTATGTTGAAGATAAGAGTATCAGAAGACATTGTAACATAGTCTATTTAATTGAGTCACTGGCCAGAATGCAGTGAGAAACAGCTTTAGCTCTGAAGCCTGTATTATCTGTAGGCATATTCGTTAATATGTTGCAAAAAGGAAGTTGGTGTTTTCTAAATGCAAATTTTGAGTTAGGGATGGTGTTGCCAACTTGAAGGTATTGGCGGAGCGCTTTTGTTACTGTGGGTAGCATAACTATTGTAAATTCATGAATAGCACCTTTTGCATATTAAAATATCTTAAAATGGGCCAGGTGTGGTGGTGTAATCCCAGCACTTTGGGAGACTGAAGTGGGTGGATAATCTGAGGTCAGGAATTCGAGACCAGCCTGGCCAACATGGTGAAACCCCATCTCTACTAAAAATATAACAATTAGCCAGGCATGGTGGCGAGCGCCTGTAATCCCAGCTACTCCGGAGGCTGAGGCAGGAGAATTGCTTGAACGTGGGAGGTGGAGGTTGCAGTGAGCCAAGATTGTGCCACTGCACTCCCAGCCTGGGTGACAGAGCGAGACTCCATCTCAAAAAATAAAATGAACTATCTTAAAATGAATCTTAAAATCTTTACATTTTGATTATGGAAACACTTAAGAGTTGGGGCTTGAATTTGAAGCATGCTGAAACGTGTGTCTTGTTACACAAAAATGGTTGTTTATACTTTGGAAACAGCAGAATAATTGGAAGAGTAATGCCCAGTATGTGAGGGCAGGCCCTAGAGCTTTAGGTGATGTTTTATGCTTCAGAGTAAAAAGTAATTTTGATCCTTTGTGGAAAGATTTTAGGTCGAGAAACACATTTTTTCTTACTTTCTCAAAACCAATTAATTGCAACAAAGAGTTCATTGCAGAAAAAATTGAGGATGTGGTGAAGTTTATAGCTGTTCTGATGCCTGAATGCCATGTTCCATATGACTTAAAACACCCAAAATTAGTTAAAAAGTTTATGAAACAGGGTTTTTAAAATGGAATATATGGTGTGATGTTTTATCAATAACTACGTTCAGCTGGATGCTGTGGCTCACACCTATAATCCTAGCACTTTGGGAAGCCAAGGCAGGAGGATTGCTTGAGGCCAGGAGTTCAAGACCAGCCTGGGCAACATAGGGAGACCCCCCATCTCTATTAAAAGAAAAAATTGGCTGGGCATGATGGTGCAGGCCTGTAGTCCCAGCTATTTGGGAGGCTGAGGTGGGAGGATCACCTGAGCCTGGGAAGTCGAGGCTATAGTGAGTATTACCGCTGCACTCCAGCCTGGGTGAAAGAGTGAGACCCGGTCTCAAAAAATAAAGTAACTACATTCATCTCTGGATTTGTTAACATTTAACAGATTGAACTTTATTATTTGTCAGTGAAGAAGAAAATGTGATATCCCTGATCTTTTCAATATTTTACAGTCTTTGTTGTATTAAAAAAGCACTCTAGTAGATTTGCCTTTTTCTCTCTCTTTTTTTTTTTGTTTATGATCGATTGGATTACCTTCATAAAATATATTTATGCTATTAAATCTTTCGTGTTCTAAAATGTTTGCGTGGCTGAAAAAGGGAAGTCTATTCAGTAAGGAAAACCCGTCTTCCCCTCCCCCGGGCCTCAGCTGTGAAGTTTGGATTTGGACTGAGATTCTTGGGATGGAGCTCTCCAGGTGTCCACTCCATTCCATCTACAGCTGTGTTTCCCTTCGCATGTCATTCTACTCTAGCAGCTTTCAGTTTGTCATTCAATGAATGGTCAGTTTAAATGATGATCTATGAGGATACTTAGGAGACCTTAACCTATAGGGGAAATACTTTCATTTTAGAAGTTACTACTTAGTTTGTAAAAAAAATAATAATAATAACAATATTAAGCATTTATAATGCTTTGACAGTATTCATAGGTGAAATGAGTGTATTTTGTTTTAACCTTTGGAAGCCAGCATAAAAATACTCTTAAGGTTTCTAAAATATGTATGGGAGTTGAAAAATAGGGTTTTTAAAAAAGTATATTTTCAGAATTGAGGTCCAAACTTATACACTTCTGTTTTCCAGATTGTTTTTACTTAGGTTGGAACCTTAATCTATTTATAGGGTGTCTCGACCATTTTTCATCCTTACAGTAATACAAACCCAGGTGACAGCCAAATCTTCTTTCACAGGTAGTTTGTCATTTTAAAATTGTTTTCTGTCCTAGCCCCATGGCTCATGCCTATAATCTCAGCACTTTGGGAGGCTGAGGCAGAAGGATCACTTGAGGCCAGGAGTTGCAGACCAGCCTGGGCAACATAATGAGATCCTGTCCCTACAAAAAATTAAAAGAAAAATAGCCAGGTGTGGTAGTTCCAGCTGTTTGGGAGGCCGAAGCAGGAGAATCATTTGAGGCTAGGAGCTCAAGGCTACAGTGAGCTACAGTCATGCCACTGCCTTCCAGCCTGGGCGATAGAATGAGACCCTGCTGAAAGATGGATAGATAGATAGATAGATAGATAGATAGATAGATAGATAGATAGATACCCTGCCGATAGATAGATAGATAGATAGATAGACAGAATGAGACCCTGCCAATAGAGAGAGAGAGAGAGAGAGAGAGAGATAGAATGAGACCCTGCCGATAGTTTTCTATCAGAAATTTTTTCCTAGATTTGAACATGTTTTTCTAAAGTAGCGTTCAACACATCAGCATTTTATAGCGTCATTAATTGTTACTATGATTATGTTTTTCTGAAATAGTATCGTTTACAAAAGCACTTTTGTCTTTCTAAGCACATAAATAGGTCCTAAAATGAATTTGTCTGATGTTGGTGGCCTCGGTACCATTTTCTCCAGTTGATTGGCATGGTCAGCCCAGTCAATAATTTCAGGTTACTGTTGGCCTTAGAGGAAGAGCCCAAAGGCAGCACGCAAGGGTGCTGGTGTCCAGTCGCCTTCTAGAAGCATTTTCACCTTCCCTTGATTAATACAGAAGTGTCTACAGAAGTGACCCAGTGCGAGCCCGGGCAATGTTGTATATTAGGCCGAATTTGCATTTCTTACCTTTATGAGATGCACCCTCATAGGCTAGTGGAGTTACACACACAGTCTGGTCTCAGCTGTGCTCTCCAGAGATACAACACGGTCCAATCAAATAACATTCTCTGAGCCCATTTCTTTAGCTGTAAAACAAGAGTAACAATTACACCCATCTAAAAAGACAGCTTATTTTACTCACGTGATCTTTTTTCCTATGATACTGTCTTTAACACAATAATTATTTTCTTTACCATATCACATTTGTTTTTAAATAAGAATTTCTTAAAATGATGTTTTCAGTATTTTATAAATGATGTTTGAGCAGCAATATTAATAGCATGTTACCTGACACTTTGAGGGACTAGAGATGACAGTGGCAGCTGATTTGACCCAGATGTCTCTAATCCTAACGTGAGGTGTATTGAAGGGTCACAGCAGAGTGAGTTGCTGGTGTGTATCCACAAGGAAATGAACACGGAACTCTCACGACAGCGTGTGTGCTGTGCGCTGTGCTTGAATAGCTGACTGCTCCTTTATACGCAGCCTCTGTGCGGATTGAATCAACAGTATCCATTTCATAATAATGCAGCCCTATTTCTTTAAGCCCATACATTTTGCACTTGTTAAAAGTATTTGAACAGGCCGGGCGCAGTGGCTCACACCTGTAATCCCAGAACTCTGGGAGGCCGAGGTGGGTGGATCACTTGAGGCCAGGAGTTTGAGACCAGCCTGGCCAACATGGCGAAACCCCATCTCTACCAAAAAAATACAAAAATTAGCCGGGCGCGGTGGCGGGTGCCTGTAATCCCAGCTGCTCTGGAGGCCGAGGCATGAGAATCGCTTGAGCCCAGGAGGTGGAGGTTGCAGTGAGTCATGATCGCACCTCTGAACTCCAGCCTAGGCAACAGAACAGTTCTCTGTCTCAAAAAAGAAAAAGTATTTGAACATAGTTACCCAGTTTCCCTTGCTTATGCATGCTTAAATTTTGTATAAGCTTAAATATCTTTTCCATCTAAGCTTTATTTTATCCCCTTTTACTTATTTATATAACTTTAGGAGGCTGTCTTCATTAAAAGTTTTTTCTTGAAAGTCTTAAAACAATATAGTTCTTGGCAATTTGAAAGTTATTTGAGAAGGGGAAATTTATAATGACAATTCAAATGAAGCAAACTAAAAAATAATGAAGAAAGACAGAGGAAAAAGCAGTATTCACTTGAACACATTCCAAACAAATAGGAAAAAGCCTGCTAAAGCTCACAATACAGAAATAATTATTGATACTCAAAATAGCTTTCAAGTCCCGCTCACCTTTTCAATGTTGGGAATTGACCAGGAGGTGACTGTAACTCTAAGACGGTTCTTCCAGTGATGACCATTTTCTTTTTCAAGATGATGATTATTCTCCACCTTCTAAGAGACCAAAGACCAATGAGCTACCACAGCCACCAGTCCCGGAACCCGCCAATGCAGGGAAGCGGAAAGTGAGGGAGTTCAACTTTGGTAAGTTCTCAGCGAAATACGTGACCTTTTCCTTCATCTTCTGGACTCTCAGTGTGACTGATAAATGTTGCAACATGCTCTGCAGGGGGAAATGCTTTAGCCTGTATTACTGCATTATAATCTCATCTTTGGAAAGCCAGGAGCATTTTGAAAGTTACATTACAGACATTGTTTAAACATAGTTTGGATTTACCAAAGCATAGGACATTGTCTTGTCTGATGATAATTAGTCGGCTCAAGATTAGTGCTAAAGACTTAGTAATTTATTTCTCTTAGCTTTAAAACCTTTATTTCAGAACTATTTCACCTCTTGGTTTTCTGTTTTTGCACCGTGTCCCTGCAGCTGCTAATCTGTGAGCTCCCAATGGATGATGTATCCTAGCAAGCGACTGAATGAGATATTAGTGGCAAATGATGTTGATGATTCATATTTTGAATAAATGGAACATTGAGCTTGTATACATTTTGAAAATAGTACTTTAATATTCCACTGTGTCATAGTCACAATGATTGGATATGAATTGAATTTTTGTACTTTTAAAATATGTTTTTCTTCTTTATTTTTAATTTTTATTATTAATTTTTTGAGACAGAGTCTCGCTCTGTCACTTAGACTGAAGTGCAGTGGCACGATCTTGGCTCCCAGCAACGTCCACCTCCCGGGTTAAGTGATTCTTCTGCCTCAGCCTCCCGAGTAGCTGGGACTACAGGCGCCCACCACCACGCCCAGCTAATTGTATTTTTAGTAGAGATGGGGTTTCACTGTGTTGGCCAGGCTGGAATCAAACTCCTGACCTCCGGTGATCCGCCTGCCTCAACCTCCCAAAGTGCTGGGATTACAGGCATGAGCCACTGCGCTTGGCCTGTTCTTTAGCATTCTAAGTTGCAACTATATATCCATAAAGTCTTATTTCCACACAATTAAGACATGTTTTAGGAAGTTTGTTAAAAGACCCCTGGAGACCTCTTTATCGTGGGCTCCCTTTTACCATGTTTAATTCGCTTGATCTTTTCTGCCCTCCTGCTTTTCAGAAATTGAAAGGCTAAAAAGAGGTGCTAAATGTTAAAACTTCTCTTCTAGTCTCCCATGACACTATTAAAAGTAATGGCAAAAGCCGCAGTTACTTTTGCACCAACCTCATAATTCTAAGAACCACCAGAAGAAAAGGGAAAGGTCTTTGGAAAGCAGTAAAATGATATGGACAGTTGGGATGTAAAAATGTAGAAAATATGTCATTGTATGTTCGGTCAGCCCAAGACCCTAGTGCCGCCCTGATGGTAGGGACTTCTTAATGGGAATTAACTTTTGCTCAATTTTCAGAGAAATGGAATGCTCGCATCACTGATCTACGTAAACAAGTTGAAGAATTGTTTGAAAGGAAATATGGTATGTCTAAACAGGAAAATTCCTGTAATGCTTTGTTCATGAGCATTTACACAATGGCGTTACTGTTCACCATGGGGGTGATGTGGACAAGCCCAGCCCAGGGCTGCCAGTGAACCGTGCCACACTGACTTACACGTCTCTCATTGTAAGGCCCTTAGTGGTGTCTGTCTAAATATTAGAAACAGTCTTTGTTTCTAGATTACAGTAAAGATAAGGAAAAGTTGTATTTCTGTAGTTATCAGCTAACATTTCTTGTAAACTTTCAGCATGGATATTTGGGAATGGATTTACGTATTACAAAGCTCCGGATCTTGGGGATTTCATTAAAAATTATTTTTTTAATTGATAGTTTCTCTTAATCTACTTTGTTAAATCCAGTATTCGCTGAGATCCCCCTATTGTCTCTACTTTTATCATTTTATTTTATTTTTTTTTTGAGACAGAGTCTCTGCAGTGCAGTGGTGCGATCTTGGCTCACTGCAACCTCCACCTCCCGGTTTCAAGCAATTCTCCTGCCTCAGTCACGCAAGTAGCTGGGACTACAGGTGCCTGCCATCATGCCCTGCTAATTTTTATATTTTTAGTAGGGACAAGGTTTCACCGTGTTGGTCAGGCTACTCTCAAACTCCTGACCTCAAGTGATCCTCCCGCCTCGGCCTGCCAAAGTGCTGGCATTACAGGCATGAGCCACCATCCTGGCCACTGCTTTTATCTTGATGTATAACTGAGTTGATGCTAGATTTCAATTCCTTCTTTGTCCTTTTACTATTCTATCCTACAGCCACCTTTATATAATGATGAAAGAAATTCGCAATTTATCATTTTTATTTTTTTATAAAATATTTAAAATGATTTTAAAATAAGTCATTTTATTTTTATCATATTTGTTATCTATTTTATTATCATCTGTTATTATCATTTTTATTTGGATGACAACTTTGCCATTAACTAGCAAGCTGTAAAATTGTATGATATGCAGTTTTAACTGAATTGCTGTAAGTGAAAATTTAAACGCAGTAAGCCATATTGATGGTATTTGTGTTAATAAATTTAAAATGAGCATTTTTTCTTCATCATGAGTAATATGACCTACCCCTCAATGAAAATCTAGAATTAGAGTAAATTTGCTAATGAATTCAACAAATTTTCCGTATTTTTAGCGATTTACTCCAGGTTCTCTTAGTGTTTCTCCCAGTTTTTAATAGCTTACACCTTTTTTGCCCTTTTTTTTGTTTTTGTTTTTTTTTTTTTGAGATGGAGTTTCCCTCTTGTCGCCTAGTCTGGAGTGGTGCGATCTCAGCTCACTGCAACCTCTGCCTCCCAGGTTCAAGCAATTCTCCTGTCTGAGCCTCTTGAGTAGTTGAGATTACAGGTGCCCGCCACCATGCCTAGCTGATTTTTGTATTTTTAGTAGTGACGGGGTTTCACCATGTTGGCTGGGCTGGTCTCAAACTCCTGACCTCAGGTGATCTACCCACCTCGGCCTCCCAGAGTGCTGGGATTACAGGCATGAACCACTGCGCCCAGCCCCGTGTTCTTTATTGGTTCATTCTGAAGCAAAAAGCTCATAGCATGTGCTACCTGGAAGCAATGTAACCTACTGGTAAGATCATAGGCTCTAGGGGGAGTCGGGCGCAGTGGTTCACGCCTGTAATCCCAGTACTTTGGGAGGCTGAGGTGGGCGGATCACGAGGTCAGGAGATTGAGACCATCCTGGCTAACACGGTGAAACCTCGTCTCTATTAAAAATAGAAAAAATTAGCCGGGCGTGGTGGCGGGCGCCTGTAGTCCCAGCTACTTGGGAGGCTGAGGCGGGAGAATGGCGTGAACCTGGGAGGCGGAGCTTGCAGTAAGCCGAGATCGCACCACTGCAAATGTACTATATCAGTTTCATAAATGTCAGTGCTTTTCATGAAATCAAACAGGTTATGTTGTGGGGCTTTTGTTGTGATGGTGATTTATTAGATTATTTTGTATACAAGACAATAAATAATGTTCACCAACTGTTGTGAAATTAGAGAAACATCTTCACATTTTATAATTTCAAAGCCATATTAATGGTAATTGCCTTAGGGAGTGATATTTTCATTGTGACATATAAATACGATATTCAAGTTTAGTGCACAACAGAGGATATTGACTCTAACTCAATGCTAATGTGTAATATGGTACACTTGAAGTTTCAGTACAAAGATTAATGTTTAGCAAATAGACTTTTACACACAATTATGGCAAAAAAAAAATGGAGCTTTTCTTTTGGGAGTGCACATGTTGTGTTTGATTTTAATACTCCCCATACTCTTGACTGTTTATAGCTGTTGTATTATTTTACTGTTGGGTAAATAAATGTTAGCAGAGATGTTGTAGTTCAGGAGAATCTTCTGCTTCTGTTATTTATTTATTTATTTATATTTATTATTTGAGACGGAGTCTTGCTCTGTCACCCAGGCTGGAGTGCAACGGCACGATCTCAGCTCACTGCAACATCTGCTTCCCAGGTTCAAGCGATTCTCCTGCCTCAGCCTCCTGAGTAGCTGGGATTACAGGCGCCCACCATCATGCCCGACTAATTTTCGTATTTTTTGTACAGACAGGGTTTCACCATGTTGGTCAGGCTGGTCTTGAACTCCTGACCTCAGGTGATTGACCTACCTCGGCCTCCCAAAGTGCTGGGATGACACTCATGAGCCACTGTGACCAGCCTGCCTCTATTATTTAACAGAAATTATTTTTATAAGTCCAATAAGGTTACACTGATGTTTATGTTTTTAAAATACTGCTTCTTCCATTTAGTACTATATGTATTAAATGATATTACCTGGTGTGTTTTTCTGGCTTTGTAATGTGGTTCAGATTTCTGTAGAAAGTCTGGCTGTATTCACATTGCCTTAAAGTAATGGGCTACTTCACTGCAGGCTTTGATAAACAGAATATTAGAATTTTTGATGTTCTTTCTATTACCCTCATAGTATTTTTCTTCTGATTCAATCACAATAACAAGTAAAGATCAAATTATAAAAGTTAAAGAGCAATACAGATTCAATGATTTATTATTCTTTTCTACAAATCGTGTTTAAATGGTGTCTCCTTCTCTTTTTGTCCTTATAGCTCAAGCCATAAAAGCCAAAGGTCCGGTGACGATCCCATACCCTCTTTTCCAGTCTCATGTTGAAGACCTTTATGTAGAAGGACTTCCTGAAGGAATTCCTTTTAGAAGGCCATCTACTTATGGAATTCCTCGCCTTGAGAGGATATTACTTGCAAAGGAAAGGATTCGTTTTGTGATTAAGAAGTAAGACTCTTGTCTGAGTAATACGTCTTTTTTATTGTTGACAAATATTCATTCACCACTAGGGTTCTATGTGATGAAGTTTGAGTTATTTTGTGTATTTTTATCTTCTCCTTTTTAGCTGATGTGGGTCCAACATTGCATCAGTCATCCAGGGTTGGCATTTGAAGCATGAACAGTGCCCGCACTGGACTGGCATGCAACTGACATTTTCTTTCACAATTTTCTGCTACTTTTGCTAAAGAACATAGAATCCACGCCTTTTTTTTAGGCCTGAGTTTTTTTTTTTTTTTCCCTGAGATGGAGTCTCACACTGGAACCCAGGCTTGAGTGCAGTGTCGTGATC